TGGTAGGCTTTAGTATGAAGTGTTTCTCTGTGGAATTTTGTGATGCGAGTGTTGAAGTACTGCTTTGTGGAAAGTAGGTCGATTTGGAATACGTGGACAACGTCGTTGCGTTCCACAACCACCAGGCGACAAGTTCAGCCCTGGACAAATCACTCTGGCGTGATCCATGCGGTGACATGCGTTTTGTACCTTCAAAAGGTTGCCGCCAGATTTCACTGGTGACAAGAAACTGGAAACTATCAGAAATTTACCTGTGTTGACAGCTGCATTAACCCAGTATCCACCAGATTAGTTTCTAAACTTTGTTTTGTGGTCGCCGGAAGAGAAAAAAGAATGCTAAAAGTGGTGTTTGTGTGTGCATGTAGCTACAGCCTGTTCTCTAAATATGACACTATGACTTCCGATAAAAGAATCTCTATATATAGCAATCTTGTATGTAGGGCATCGAAAGCTAACGGGTTAAGAGGAATGGGCGCATGGATGCTGAGATTATCGTGCGACTGTCCGCGTTGTACTTTGGTACGGTTGAGAGACCTGGCCTGTTCGTACCGTTGACATGCGCCGGATGTCTGTCTTCGAGCACAGTTGAATGCGAAGCATTGCCCGTGTGTTGTGATTGCACCACGCAAGCAATGTGGAAGTTAGACAGCGAGTTTGGACGGAGACAGTCACTCGCCCGTCCCGTTGCGTCAGCTGCGATGGCTTGGACACGTACTGCATATGCGCGCTCATCGTCTTCCGTGTCGGACGTTGTTTGCGGTTGCTGGACAGGGCTGAAGAAGGCGGCGCGGTGGACAACCTGCGACTTGGAGAAGCAGCAGGAAGAAGCTTACGAAACAGATGGCTCCGGTCAGTTGTTCCCGACTCCCTGGTTGAGATCTCAGAGGTCATGGCTCAAGACCGACGCTAATGGCGGACAGGTATCTCTGCCTGTCGCGGTGATTGCTCTTCCCTTCCATAATAACACCATTTAAAAAGGATTCAAGAACTTTGAGTGAAAAAGCGGACAAACAAGTGCATGTTTTATTATTCCTATCACGTTTTCTTATTCCGCCATGATTCTGATGGCACACTATCTGTCTCATATATATATATATATATATATATATATATATATATATATATATATATATATATATCCTTGTGCACATTAATTGAAACAAACTACGATTGTGCCTCTTTTTCTATGAATATCATGTTTTTATACATGAAAGCTGCCGTTTCGCATTTATTTTTTATTTTATTTTGGGAATCGATATTTCATCATTGTTTGTGAAGCAGACGATGTAATAACTGCGCATGTCTAGTCGTTACATCACCCAAGATTGCATCATACTTTTTATGGTTAGTAAGGTTTTTGTTTCAACTTCTTGTTTTTTGTGATTCAGTCATTGTTTGAGATGGACGTGACTCCCAGAAGGCGCATGAAGATCGTGACCTTGTACGAACACACAGACAAGACCCACAGGGACATAGCAAGAATAGTAGGCGTCAGTCCGGCAACCGTCAGCCGTGTGGTCAAAAAGAAAAAGGAAACGAGGTGCATTTCGCCAAAACGCAAAGGGAAATGTGGTCCTAAGAGGAAAACCACTGCCAGGGATGACGCTTACCTAATACGGGAAAGTGTTAAAGATCCTCGAAAGACTAGTGACGCATCAAAACGTGATTTGGGGAAAGGAATAGAAATCAGTTCTTCAACGGTTCGCAGGCGACTCCTGGAAGTTGGTCGGAAAGCCAGACGGCCTGTGAAAAAACAACTTCTGACAAAAGTAATGAAAGTTAAGCGTTACAAATGGGGACTAAAATACAAAAACTGGACAAAAGAAGATTGGAGTAAAGTCCTATTCAGCGATGAAAGCCATTTCTATGTTCATGGTCAGAGAAGTCAGTATGTTCGGAGGTCAGAGGGAGAAAAGGTTCGTGATTCCCACATTGACCACTTTGTGAAACACACACAAAAGCAGATGTTTTGGGGGTGCTTTAGTTATTACGGCGTCGGCGCCTTGCATCCAGTCCAGGGCATGATGCGCTCTCCACAATATATAGAAGTTCTCCAAAGAAGAGCTGTTCCAGAACTAAAAAAGACATTTCCTGACGGATCTGGCGATTCAAAGGATCTGGCCCCGTGCCACACATCAAAAATGGTCAAGAGTTTTTTCAATACTAATCAAATAAAACAGTGGGTCCCCTTAAGCCATTTCGTTAAGGCAGAGAGAAGACAGAGGTTGCGATGTCAACATTTCGATTGTTCTCCTCAGTTGACGGCTGAGAAAAAGAATGTTTATTTGTTCTTGCCGTTCAAGGGGGACCATGTGGCAAATGACATCGGACGCAAGCTCCGGTCCGCCCTAACGCGAACCTACACGACAGCCCAGTTGCGACTCAGGCATACCACGCGAGCACTTGTTCTTCATAACCGTCAGAGCATCTCGTCGGGTAGTTCGGCCTCTCACGTTGTTTATCAGTTCACCTGCGGTTGCGGTGACATTTACATAGGCAGAACAAACCGTCAGTTAGCTCAGAGGGTAGCTGAACACTTGCCAAAGTGGTGGGGACAAGTGATTACGCAACAACATGGGACGAATCTGAGAATCAATCGGAGCCCGGCATCGTCAATCACCAAGCCCCTCATGACAACCCGTCATCACGTGAACCCCGAGACAGCGTTCAAAGTGTTATTACGTCACAAAAACCCGATAATGCTAGCAATTAGTGAGGCATTGTTAATTAAGGCTTATCAACCTGTGCTATGTGCACAGAAACTCTTGAGGCAATCAATTCGGTTGCCATGGTCTTGACTGTGACATTTTGATTGGTGGTGCCTTTTTTTCCCATGTATATAATCCCTTGTATGTTTCTGATCGTATTGTGTTTGCGACTGAGGAGAACAATCGAAATGTTGACATATCGCAACCTCTGTCTTCTCTCTGCCTTAACTAATCAAATAACCATCTTGGACTGGCCTGGGAATTCACCAGATTTAAACCCCATTGAAAATATGTGGTCTATTTGCAAGCAACGCCTTCGTGGCATGGACTGTACGACAAAGGAGAAACTTATTCAAGCTTAATTCAAGTTTGGTACAGGGACCCAAGATGGGCTAAAGTTTGTTCAAATTTAGTGGATTCCATGCCAAACCGTATTAAGATGCTACTCAAAAGTCGAGGAGGTCATGTTGTGTATTGATGTGAGTATATTAGTGCAATTCATTATAACAATTTTGAAAAAAAAGGTTTTTCAGTGTTTTCGCAGTTTGTTTCAATTAATGTGCACAAGGATATATATATATATATATATAATTAGAGTTACTTGCATAAATCTGAGACATCTTTGGCGCTGAGAAGCCTTACTCGCTGTTCGCATGGCCAAATGGAAGGGGCAGTCAATCTCGAGCTGAGACATATTCAACTATTTGACCACCACTGCGTACGCGGAACAGCTGATGTCAGTTGGTACCAGTGCGTCCAGAAAGATGGGAGGCGCGAGGAAATACTATGAGACGGTGGTCAGGATAATTCCGCAGAGCAGCGGACAACAATGAGCAAGGTACATGTTGAGTGCTGCCTATTCAAACCAATGCGCTCCACGGCCGTGTTCATACTTGCTTGCACTAACATCAGGTAGAGACAGCAAAACTGTGATTCGGACGTAGGGCGTGCGAACTACCAGCTGCAGCTCTTACTCGTATACGAACAAGTCACGAGCAACGATCGTAACGGGAAACATCTCAGTAGGAGTAAGTGCTAAGCATTCGCTATGTGGATGAGTTATAAGGCGCAGTCTCAACTTGAACTGCGATTCATTTTGCGGTGAGCCTGGGTCGATTGAGTCACTGGGAGCGTAGCTAATGCACATAATTATTGAGCGTTGCCAGCAAGCAACACTGCAGTCCGCCACCGGTTTCGTGGTTGTATACACTCGCCAGGTAGAGAAAGAAATGAACAGATTGTGTTGGCTTGGGCTCGTACTATTCACATCCGTCTACCGATTGTCAAGGACCCGTGTCGCTTATTCGGTAATATCAGGTTAGAGGAAGTCGTCGTTGACAGAAGCAACAAATGAAGGAATTGACTATAAGAATGCGTGCTTGTGGTCAGTCTCACCTTCCAGACTACAGTCCCCATGACTCACCTTGTGCTTGGCTCGAGACCCGTGCCAGTGGTGCTTTTACAATCCATTCCTGGTTAGACCAATTGTCCAAACTGTGTCTGACGCTGAGTTATAGGTCGAGCACTATAATGACCTGATGAGCAATTGCTTTTGGCTGCGTGCTGATAGCAACGTATAGGAGCATCTGTCTGGAATGTCTGATCGAAGCGTTTGGGCTCAAGAATGGCATCTCTCCCACCTTTCAAGAACATCCTTCGTTATTAGGACCATTATGGCTGTATAGATCAGGTAGTGGGTAATAGACAGTTAGTCGTTGCTGGAGGGGACGGGGTGCACGGTTCTCGTGACCGTGCTTCCATGCACTTAGTGTGGAGCGGACTACGGTCCAGCCACCGCCTCGTACCCGATTGATTCCCAAATACAGCGTGCTTGTGTTTGCCTGTGAAGGAGTGTTGACCAGCTCTGTGGTTGAAACGTGGCTCCCATCCACATGCCTCCCGGTCTTATTCCTTCGGGTTTACACTAGATATGGGGTGTGTGGATGGAGCTGTGAGTGGTGCAGCGCAAGCCACCCATGGTCCTTCTGTAGGCGCAGGCGTCCTGTGGCTATCTTACAGAGGCCACAGTGACAGGCAAATCCGGAATCGGATGCCGCCGACTATGGCCGTATAACTGAAATATCAGTACAAAGGACACATGTCCCGCTGAGATTGTTATTCGCGGTTAATTGGCTAAAATAAACCTGACAATAGCAGCGAACAACGCGTAGTATTTCGTATTTTACCATAAAGTTATCCGTATGTGTGTTACTAGATTGGCCTTGCCCACTGTGCGACAACAAACACAGAACAGGACGACATGGGCTAACTCGAGATGGTAACAGACGATCCCCGTTGTGCGCTGCAGGTGCTCAGGTATGATAAGAAATAAAGACAAAAGCAGACAGTGAGCGGTTTTTGAAAAATACATGGGGAAATTACAAGCAGAGAGGACGGTCTGAGCTGCAAATAGATCAGTGCGCCGTTCAATTCAACGAGCAACGCCGTATAATAAGCTAGCACTGGAAATGTCATTGTAAATATAGTGATGTTCCAAACAGGTATAAAAACTTGTATGTCAGATAAACAGTTAAGTAATGCTAGCCTGTGGCCACGATAATCACATGAGCCTGAGAGACACCACTGAGAAGACATAGTTCGCATATGAATAGCATACTACAATAAACCTTTTCTTACCAAATTGTTGAGGGATATATTGTCTTCTGTAACTCGTTCAATTCGTTTTAATAATGCTTGCGCTTTTTCAGTGCACGATGTTTGTGCCAGAATACGATGCAGGTATTTCGGAGGGTGCAGAAGCACATGTCTGTGGTTTCACAAAGGTAAACTGAGGTCTTCTAAAAGTCCTATGTTATCACACTTCCTAGTTAGAGTTACATAACTACTAAAAACAGCTTCAAAGCCGTTTATCCATCAATTCCAGAAGGTTTTACGGTAGTTCTCTGAAAAATTCACTGTACCTTGTGGAAGCTATATGCAGCCGCCAAGTAAAATCTGAATTAGCTGGTCTGGTTAGCTGACGGAAATTATGCTGCAGGAGTCAAACGAAAGAACAAAATAGGCGAATGAGAAGTTGACAGCACCACAAAATGTCAGATGAGGCGGATGCGAAAGTGGTTTGGAATTATCTAAACCAAGGGGAAGTTCGAAGAAACGAAGCTATGGTTTAAGGATGAAAACCAAACGTCAACACGAGCGGAATAGATTCATAGGCGCGATAAAAATATGACAGTGAAGAGTTTGCTTAAATGCTGTGCGAAATGCAAGCAACTTACAGAATACAGACTCTTACATAGAACAAGGACAGGCCACATGAACCAAAAAGGCAAATAATTAAGGGGGTATCTGCGGATTAGTAATAGCCATTCGTTAGCAAGGAAAATACAAAATGAAAAGAGAACAATAAATGCGGCGAGTAGTTAGTCGAACATCTTGTAAAAAAGCTTTACATTCCTGCCAGCACCGTTTGGAATCTCTCAATATAAAAAAAAATAGATGTTGCTAAAACACACCAGGGGAATCGGCTCAAAATGTGCGTGAACGGATCCAAAATCGCAATTCCGTGGGACAATTCGGATATACATCCAAACATTCCGATAAGGTGGCTTCGTCAACAAAGCAGTATAGAGGACGGTAGTTGGGTAAGGTGGTGGTTCCGCCGGGTACATTACGTCCGACAGCAGAAGTGGCAGCAGCGTTCAGAGCCGCCTTTCCACAAACCACAAGTTCCAAGTCAATAAGATTGTCCAAGAGTTTGAAAACGACAGCCTTATCGTAGAGGTAAGCAGGGCAATTGGCACGACAAAACTTTGAGTACTCTAAGTGAAAAAGAAGAATGATAAGACTATTAGACCAAATGTTCATGTATAGACTACTACGTTGTAGTACTGTGGTCATTTCTTATTCCATTACTCGAGGTTACGTGACTTGTTAGGATGCGTTAGACAACGAATTATGTAGAGCCGGTTGCACCTTGGTTAGCCTAACAACAATTTGTGCATTGAAAGAGCGGTAGAGCGTGGGTGAAAATTTTGTCAGACTACAATCCATATTTGGAATAAGTAGAAAGAAAAAAATGGCAAGTGATGAGCTAGCAAGCGCTCGATCTGTCGTAGAACTGAAGGCGAGGATGAAAGTGTGGAACGCTCCCAGTGTAACAAGACACGAAAGTCGTTTGGATGAGACCATATGGGGAGTCGATTTCTTTCAAAGTAGATAGATTCATTGAGCTGAGCTTCCTTATATCCTCAGGTAGGGCGATGAGCATTCACTGAACACCAATCACGAACGGTACCACGGTCACAATAAAGTGCACAAGGAGCGTATGAAGTGTACTAGCGAAGGCCCCAGCTGTTGCCTCGTGTTCGCGACCAATCGAGTGCTAGGTGCCCCTCTCGTGGTGCACGCCGGATCAATCCCTCCTGCTAGATAAGAGGCCGCGAGGTTAATTGCCTCATGGTACATTTCCCACCTCATCTCAGGAACACATTGGATCGGAGGATTTGGTCTAGGACCCGAGACATCAATCTTGACATTATAATGGTACAAAAATTAACTATGAACCAGCTAATAACAACAAACTGCATGCTGTGTTGGTCGTCGCAACTTTGAAAGAGGGACAGTGCGTGCTGTACATGGTGAGGTGGACAGGTGCAAATGGGCTTTAACTAGCTCAACTACCTTATATTTGCTCACCTGTTGAGCGCTTCTCCGAGCTTGATAAAGTGATTGCATACGTTTCACCACAGGATTGTACACCGCATATCACAGCACTGTAGATGCTAACTCGCACGGTGGTGAAACGGATGCAATCACTTTAGTAAGCTCGGAGAAGCGATCAACAGGTGAGCAACGAACCCGGGCTACTAGTGTTCCAAATTATTTCGAATACCTTACATTCAGACACCTAAGTACCACTTTTTCGACCTATCAAACTATACTCTGTTGTAGATCCTCACCGAAGCAACCACTTGTCGGTTGCCGGGAAGATGACGTACCGTCGTGGAAAGTGCATGCTGGAACAAGAAACAAGTCAACGGCCAATACGACGCGCCGCATTGGTCATATAGTAGAGCGTCTGTAAATCATGCATTACTCTACGGCCGTGAACTGGAGTAGAACCAATGCCCGTTCTCTTCGCTGTATGGAGGAGCGGCGTGAGCTGGAGCGTGTAGTGACGACGCTTCGAAGAGATCCAATCCACTGCCTTAGTCGGCGTTTTGGGATTTCCCAAAACGCTGCGCACCTATTGCTGTCGAGGTGATCGGGCGCGCAAACACAAAGCAGATTATTGATCGAGCAAAAAGTGCAATGTAACCGAGACGTTGTTAATGGGGAAGAGTGCAGTGTTAGATATAAAAACAGGAGGAAAACATAGAGGAGAGGATGAGTAAGTCACAGTGTTGCCTAGCGTCAAAAACGCAAAGTTGCCGGAGGAAGTGAAGCAGACGGTACACTGAATATCGAAAGCATAAGTGCCATAACTCTTTGAAAGCAATGTGTTACCCCATCTAGCAGTCGCACCAAGCATAGTTGGAGAATTCAATGCTAACGTAATGTAGTGGTTTTAATGATCATTAGAATGATCGTTTAGAGATCGACTGGGACAAGCTGCAGCCTAATGCGAGACGGCGCTTTTCGATAAACATAAACTACTTGAAACACAGGGAGCACTTGCTCAACTACAAAGTGATCAATGTGATGGTGTCATGGGACTTCCCTGGAAATACTGAAGAGAAGCATACGCTATAACACTTGATAAAACGCAGGTACAGGGAAGAAAACGTTATGTGAACGGCAGTATGCATTCATGTAGTCACTGCACAACGGCGAGTGAAAAAAGCAATGTCCCAATAACCAGCGTAACATCAACCAGCCAATTGGTGTCGTAAAGGTAATTATCCGGAATGAGGTCAATCACTTCGTCACTCAAGCGTTACGATCCAGTAAGATGTGGGAACAACGTAGATTGCGCTCGGGCTGATTTAATATCGGCAAAATATTTGCAGCTTGTCAACTGCAGAAGCGTCACGAACAAGACCAACTGCAGCACTCGCTTTATGTACACTTCACCAAGCTGCTCAACACCATCAACCGTGAAGAGCTGTGGCTAATCATTGGTGTTCGGTTGCCATAGAAAGTATTATCGTATAACCTCGTCGTATGCCGCCGTGTTATCATCATTCATGAATCTACACGTCAGCTAGAGATGAACGACATCTCAGGTATTGTGCCACAATACAACTGCTAGATGATAATAAAAAATATAATAAAACAACAGCGAAAAAAACAAGTATAAAGTTAGATCTTGTCTTATATCGTACGTCCGAGCTAAGATTGTGATTGAAGAGGCAGCCTAAGTAGGCTCTTATACCTGTAAACAAGTGCAACCAATCAAACGTATTCATCGCCTTTTGTAGCTCAACCGAAGAGTCTGGTGGTGCCAAGCGAGGCCAAGTTCGAAGCAAGAGCCTTCATTCCTCTTGGTTGAGTCACCATCTGGCTTCCCCTTCTCTTCTATATACACTGGGATCGCCCAAGCAGCACAAATCGAGTGAACCGGCGTGCTAGTATGCATCACAGAAGGTCCAGCCATCAGAGGTTAGGTGCGTAAAATAATGGTGCCCAGTGGTTGATGTGTTACAAACAAGGCGGCGAACACACTAATTGCTCATGTGGTGTTCGCGTCAGCTGTGAGCTAAACTAGGAAGCCACCGATGGTCGAATGCAAATACCCTCTTTGCGTCAGTCGATCTGATGGGCCACGTTCCACAACCGTACAGCTGGGGTGAAGGGACGGTGGTTGTGCAGACTTTAGCCTTTATAGGGAAAGCGATGTCGCGTCCACTCCAGAAGTAGCGAAGGCAAGCAAAAACATCATGAACTTATTCCATACAGTTTGTCATTTCCCCTTCTATTCCGCACGCCCATATAGATGCCCAGGTAGTTGGATTCCTGAACAAACTCCAGCCGATTCTACTCAATGATCAGCACAGTAGGTGGTACGCTGCCAATCAAGGAAAGATTTGCATTTTGGGGGTGCAAAGCACAGACCGAAACCATCGACAGCCGTTGCTAATGAAGCTGTGTTCAGCTCAGTTCAGGTAAACAACTATGATCCGATCAACGAAGTGCGGTGGATCCGATTGTCCCGATTCACAGCAAATAACAGCGGTAAGATAGTGGTGTTGGATACAAATAGAGTGTAGAGAAAACGGAAGCAAGAAAAGGTGCGTTAGACTAATCGAGATGAAAGCAGATGCAAAAGCCCTAATGCAGAAACGCCACTGAATGCAATACTTCACAATGTGTGTAAGGATCTCCAACCATTAGTGTGGACTACCCCGAAGCCCCCATCCACGAAGAGGACACTCAGCAGCCTGACCAAGTTTCTTAGTCAATATCTTCATACTTCTATACCACGTCACGGACTAGCCGCCTCGCGGATTCGCCCAACTCGGTGCATAATGAATACCGAGGAAGCCAGTTAACGGGCACACGGAGGAAGTGGCTTAACTAACGTAACCGATTATGATTCAGTAAATACGCGAGTGAGGCACCAGAAGGCTTTTGCCACCCGGTGTTCCCACCAGAAGTGGACAATACTCCACAACCACCGGTGGTCAAACAAGGCCAAGCGTTTAATGTCCTCATTGCGAACTGGTCAGGTCTCTGATACAGTAAGACCGGCCTTACTGTAGGCTCATACAGCCTATCCTTCACTGACAAGCTGATATCCCACCGTCTTCATAGACGGTTGAGTCTATGGAAAACCAAGCGGACCTTGATGATACGAGAAGAAACATCCTCAGTGATATAACCACCAGAGGTGACACGGCTGCCAAAGTGAACTGATTCATCTTGAAGGTGCAAAGCACATACCGAAGCGTGCGGCGTTACGCGTCAGTACACTCAGTAGTGTTTGTATAGTCACTGCCTAAGACCCAAGAAGAGCTATGTTGTCCGCATACTCCAGGTTTGTCAGTCGGTCACCTAGCAGAACTTCCACTCCAGAATAGTCTGAAATAAATGAGACATTCATGATCATCCCGATCACAAAGTTGAAGGAGAAAAGAGATATGGGACAATCCTGGCGTATCCCACTTGTCGTCGGGAGTTTCCCTTAGACCTTCACACGGCCTCGGGAGTCTCGATAGGGAGACAACATAATGGAAAGGAATTTAGCTGGCATGCCCTTCATGGGTAGGCAGTGCCACAAGCTGGTGCGATATAAAGAGTTAAGGAAAACCATCATAGTCGATCGTCTGTAGGTCTCTGTTCTAAAACTTGGCGAAGAGTAAATATATGGTCGATACAACCACGAGAAGGGCGTAAGCCGACCTGGCTTACAGTGATTCGGTCCTCACAAAGATCAGCAAATCGTCGGAGGATGATACCCGTGAGAAGTCTGGAAACAACGGAAAAAAGGCTAATGCCTCGATGATATTTGCACAAAGTATGCTGACCCCAGTTGAAGAAAGGGATGATAGTTGATAGTCGCCAGTCTGAAGGCACCTCTTCAGTGTTCCAAGCAAGTCCAATCAACAAAGTCACCTCCATCTTTCAGCAAAGATGGAGGAAGGTCCTTGGGTCCAGGGGCCTTGTTTCGTTTCGACAAGAAAAGCTCAAGTCGAATCTCATCCAAAGTGGGTGGTGTGATTCGGCCAGCGGCAGTGTCGTTGCAGGTCGGCTGAACTGCTCCTCAAAATATCCCGCCCAACTGGCTAGTCAACGACGTCGTGAATTGATCAATCGTCCACCTTTCTCGTCTATTGTCTCGCTAGCTGATAGATTTCTCGGACCCGTGTTCAGGAGGAAATGGAATAGCACTCGTTGTTCCAAATAGCACTGGTTTCCACTAACTCACGGGCCTTGTCCATCCACCAACGTTCCCGGCCGATAAGAAGACCCATTGTCAGACGTCGTTACAGGGAGTTACGGAAACGCTTTGATCAAGCTGATCGCTGCCTCAGAGATCCATTCAGTTATGACGTCTTAAGTATGGTGTACAGCACGCGTCAAAGGCACTCTACACAGCACACTTGATACGATCCAAGTCAGTGTCCGACTCAACAACTTCAGTTATCCGTGACAATTCGTGGGCCGGTTCGTCATGCGAGTGCAGGTTACAGGTAATGTTAAACGATAGGCGCTTCCTTGAAGCTGGAAGTGCCAATGTCAAGAGTGCGCACACTACAGCATGGTCGGAATTCAGGCAAGTGATCCAAATTGACCGAAGTCATGGACTGATGTGCGCCACATGTGGTCGAGGGCAATATGGTTAATGTGAGCCTATGCCATTGAGGAATTCGGTGGGGGGCCAAGTGACGCCAAGTGCTGGAAACTAGTGCTGCTAAGGTAAAAGTTGATTGGCACACAGTTGCAAGAAGCAACCACCATTCTCTGTTCAGCGTGCATCTACTCCGAAAAGGCCTACCAGGTTCCCGCGACGTGCGCTGTTTGCGCGCCGGGGGTGCTGATGGAAGAGGAGTGGTGGCCAAACGATAACTTGGTCAAGAGGAATGAAGGCCCTTAGTTCGAAGTTGGCCTCGGTTGGAGCCTCTCTGCTCCCAGTCTGGGAACCGAAGGATGATGAACACAAACGTGGTCACAAGGAGCTTATATTGAATAGGTAACGGATAAGCTGATTAGGCAATTGTCAGTTCAGTTGAAAGATGTCGCTTCTGGCACCAGTAACTAACAACGATGATGCTGTGGCCCCATGGCATATCTGCTGCATCATCACCGCAGTAGCGTTACGAGTGCACGTGCCACGGTGAAAGCGATCCTGCTTTAGGGCTGCAAGACTTGGCCGGTTCGTGCAAAGTACGTTCAGAGGCTATCTGTCTTGGTTCCCAGATGCATCTGGAGCATTACTGGTGCACGATGGCAACATCACATTAGTAATGAGGATGTCCGTCCAAGGATTTTCAGATCAGACAGACTTTGTCGGCCTTTGAGCTGCATAATTTTTCTGAGTAGCCCTCAGTGGTCTGGGCATGCGCTGCGCATGTCCGCTGAGCGTTTACCTCTCTGTGCAAAACCCACGCACACAGAAAGATGCTTGAAGCGAAGACAAGGTGGTCATCGAATGACTTCGGCCACAATTATGAAGACCCAGGCCTCAAATTTTGCTGCGGTCGAGTGCTCTCTAGTCCATGGCTGGGGGCGAAAGCATCATGAGTACAAATGGCTGGAAACCATCTCGGACATTACAAGAAACCATGTGCAATGGTGAACATGTCGTGACACTCTATCCTCACAACTACTTTTACACCTTTTTGTTCTTCCCCTATCTCACTTTCTTTCCTTTCATTACTGTTGTAGTGCATTTGTTGCTGTTGCGACATGCAAATTGTACTGTTGGTCAAGTGGTCAATAAATACAATATATATGGTGGGCGGCACCCGGTTCCGGATCCAAGTGTCACTGCAGCATCAACAGGACAGCCACGGGACACCTGTACCTACAGAAGGACCATGTGCGGTTTGCGCGGAACCACCCACAGCTCCATCCACAAACCCCTTACCCAGTGCAAACCCGAAGAAATAAGACTGTGAGGCATGTTGATGGGAGCCACGTTACATCAAGGGAGCCGGCCCGGACTCCTTCAACATACAAAGCAGCAGCATTCCTGCCTACCTACTTTGGGAATCATGCGTACCAGACGTACACAAGTTGGTGGCTGTACCGTAGTCCGCTCCACAATAGATGGAACCAGCCTTTAGCTTAGCACGACCACGAGGACCGTGCACTCCGTCCCTCTCAGCAACGATGCAGTCTTCTGGAGTCAGTACAACCGAGGCGGAAGGTGCTAGACAGATAGACACCTTGTCAACATTCAGGGCAAGCGCAGTCACACCGGAGGTAGCATCCAAGCAACACAGAATTTGTAGGAAAATAAACACACAAAATTGACACGGAATATGCAGCAGAATAGCAGAGCTGAGCGAATCAAATGTAGCGGAATACATATTATCTAAAGTTAAGGTATATATATATATATATATATATATATATATATATATATATATATATGCGTGCGCAGTGGGCGCGCTAAGGTAGGTTGAGTGATAAGTGGACTATGGCTGTGGTTGATGCGTATGCTGACAAAAATAGTGTGGGTGGAATGCCGTCATTTCGATCGGTGGTTCCAGGAGCCTGGTAATCGTTGCTGCAGCAAATGGAGAGCACAGTCCCTATGAGAATAGTGTGCGCAAAGGGAGGTTTCATACAGCATGGAAGGGTCTACGGCCTAAGCACCGTCTGGTAGGCACATTTCCCTTAAATTCATATCTATGAGGTACATGAATACAGAGTGTGAGCCAGTTGTGAACTAATCGTATCTCTCACCTAAATACCTGGTGGTTATATTCCTTCGAGTTCGTACTGGATATGAAACATGCGAAGGAAACTGTGGGTAGTGCAACACAAGTCAGCCATGGCGCAGGTGACCTGCGGAAGCTTGCAAGCACAGTGGTATGAAAAATTGGAAACAGACGCCACCAGCTACCACTGTTACCACTAGATGGCAGAGCGAAATAACCCAACGTATCGTGTAACCGCCACAGGACAAAAGTATGGCAGGGTTGAAGGTCAGGAAAAGGCATCCGGTGTGAAGTTTTGGTGGAACCATGAGGAATTCACTACAAGGTGAGTCATAGCAACTGGACACCCTGCATTCCGGTGCTCAGAGCTTAGGTAAGTTAGATCGACTCCCGCGCTCAGATTATCAAACAAGTTGCTGAGCTTACCAGCATGACCGGTGTAGTATTTCACAGCATAATTATGATGTAGGTTGGATATAAAGCGGTAGCGGGAAAAAGCGTCAATGGATTGTAAACGGCCAGAGCGCGAGGACAACGTCCGCAGAGTAGCTGTCCTTGATTGGTGGTGCGTGAGAAGTACAGATCGCGTCCGGCGAGAGCATCGAGCGCGTAACATACCTATTGCCCAGTTGGATTCGAGAACACCATTTCCGGTGTTGCCACACTGGACAGCCTCCAAAATGGAAGCGCCAACGATATTTAGCTCATGTCCCTCACAGAACGGGCAAACACAGACCGGTGTGCATTGTTTGCTGAAGATGCATTTAAGTGTGTGGCATGATAATTAAGTGGTAAACTAAAAGAACGAAAGAACCGATCGAATGATCGGACACGGCTGGTGAGTGATGCCTCCCAGATGAAGATACAGGGACCACCACCACGTCAGCGGTTATAAACTCTACCGGACACAGCACGGCGGATGCCCATGTATGCATATCCAGCATCTGACTTTCAACCCATCCATCGGATGATTTCGGTGTTGTATAAAACTCATCTAGATAAACACAAGGTTTGTTCTCTTGTCTCTCTCATTTTCCACGGTTGACAAGCGCTAAGGTTGTGACGGGGTGAAACAGGGTCGCACGAATGAAATGAACCGAGATCAATTGATGCAAACGAAGATACAAAGGTATTTTTCACGAATTTTTGTGGTGACAACAACCGTATGCGTTTCCACTGTGAGTGACGATCAGTATTAGCGGTGAACGAGACTGGAAGTGCAAACTGAACCAGAGGACAGCCCGCAGTGTCTTAGCGCCAAGTGGTCAAATAAAGGCATGGCTCCATGCTAAAATATAGAGGATAGAAGACGAACATGAAACTCACCAACGTAGAGAAGCTCGAAGTTCGCAGGTCGCCCGTCGCGAATTTCGTGTAGCTTGACAAGAGTAACGAGCAGAAATAGTTCCAAAACGGATAGCCCTCCAAAAAAGTGAGCGAAAGAAAAAAGTAAGGACAGGATTGAAAAATGGAAAGGTGTATAAAACTTTAGCAACAATTAGAAGGGTAAGGAAACCTTGTAACAAGCTGATCTTTGCATCCTGCTGTAAGAGGCAAATTGAGTCGATGAACTCAACGGGTTCTATGCGGGTTTTCGTTGGGCCCAGCTTTGAGACGATGGGGACCTATAGAAAGAGGAGAGAGAGAGAGAGTAAGACGTAAGTAGAAAAACGGTTTCTGTGGCAATAGAAAGTTAAAACTTGATTTAGTGGGATGATTGAAATATCGTCCAGTGGATGTAAACGAAAGTGTTGATTGGGAGCGACACTGCACTTTTTCGAATGCTATCCTACGCCAATAATGTATGCCACTACAATGAGCTGATAATGGAAGGGTGCATTTGAGAACCTGTAGACGACGTCTCGTGAAGGTATTTTGACGCCAGGTCACCGGCCACTATCCCTTTACTCTCAATAGCTGACGATTGTGTGACATCAGATAGTACATGGATCACGCTCCGCTACGAAGCGTATATCATTTTCTTAGTTCAAACATTGTTCGAATAGAGAATTGCGGCAGCCATAAAGATCGCACGCAACGCCAATTGATTGTACAAAAAATACGGCAAAGGCATAACAGAGCATGAGTGTACGAGGACTTATGGGGTCTAGCGAAAACAAAATGGATAGCAAGAGCAAATGTAAAATGATATAGGTTTACGAGCTTGTAAGGAAGTATATATGATAAGATCGAACCACCCGGTCCCCTTAAGATGCTTTCAAACGGAAGTTAAGGGTGTATAGGAAAGAGGATAAGTTTAAGGGCGTTCTGCGATCATCGTATCTTCGGAAATCGGTTCTGCATTTCACCACAAGCAGGGAAAGGTGTGGTGGTCAAGGCTCCAGAGGCGTTCAGATTACCGCTAACAGATGCTAGAGGAGTACCTATATTATCGCAAATAAGTCTAACCCGTATATAAACATTGAGTGGAACGCAATACAAAGACAGAAATGACTTGGATTTGGCCACGGAACAACGCCCAGTCAGTGACCACAATCTTCTGTTGCAACCTTATCCTCCGCTATAAAATACGACTCTAATCACATAAGAATTCTCTACAGGAACTCAGACAGGCACCCAAGGCGTCCGGAAAAGCATTACATTGCCGTTTCGATCATCATCATCATTACACAGTAGCTGGAGGTGAGGAAGACACTTCAATTATTGTGCCGCAATACAGAAAGCGATATACTAAACACTATAGGATACAAAAACAGGAAACAAACTGCTTAGTAACATTACGATTCAAGAGAGATCGTGGGTGGAGGGAGAAGATAGAAGGGATAAGGTGAGACAAAGAAACTCACAATACAAGCGCCACTCAGATCGGCTCCTTGTCATGTCCACTAGTGCATCTAAACAGAGGTGTTTATCGTCCTTCGGACCCTAGCCCGACAGTCAGCAGACACCAACCGACGCCGACTTCGAAGTAAAGGCTTGCATTCCTATTGACCACGTCATCAGTTAGTCTGCCCTCCTCTTCTGCCATCCACACCGACACGCAAACAATGCACGTCGCGAGAGTCGATGTGTTAGCATGCGCAACACGTGGTCCAGGCGTTTCGAACAGTTGGGTCTCGTCAGTGGTGCGCATCCGCCAGCCCCACCGGGAACCGAACCCATTGCCTTCTTGACACCAGCGGCCTATGCCACTAGGATACCGGCGGTTGACCATCATAAAATACAAGCTGACGGCGATAGAAACGGGTTATCCCTCATGGCCATGGTGGTAACGAACTTCGTAGACAGTATGCCTCTACCAACAAATCCGCAACAAAGGTGTTGAAACACGCTGTTTAGCGTCATAGCCTATAGAATCTGCTTGGGTGTTCCGGTGATTCACAGCCCCGAGCACTCACCTTCAGACATGCAACAAGCTCGAAGGAGACATAGGGTAGTAAATGGTTCTTACCACTAATGAGTGTGGAATTAAGCGTTTCAAATTCTCGTCCGCGCACTAATCATGCATGTGCAACAGACACAGTACTTCGGCACATCGCGACTTCAAGCTCCAAAGTAACATCCGCACAGAGCGATAAATAAGGTGTACGTTAAGAAAAGCTCTTATTACGATTTATGAGCGTCAATCACAGTCCGCGCACCACCGTCGAGCCAAAGGCTAACGGTGCTACAAATGAACTAACTGACCAACTACAACCTAGTATTGTAGAATCTAAGATATGAAACAAGAGAACATGAGTATTTGACTAGTACCCTGAGCGTCAGGAGTTGAAGAACCTGTTCGCAGGTGCAAGCGAGGAAAGGTTAACTCAGATTGACTATGCTAGATTTGAGACATCCTGTAATGACTAGTCCAATAAATGGAATACAGATCAGTGCATGTATTGGGCTGACAAACGCATTCGAAGGTTGTTTAGTTGGGAGATTATTCAACGTTCTAAAGGTGGAGGCATTCAGTGTACAGGTTCCTGGATTTAAGTTTATACATACATCAGCGCATAGGCAAAGGAGGGCGTTATCAGAGAAGCTGATCGTTTCGGGACTAATAATTTGTTCAACTAGAACGAACCAAACAAATAGTCTCCAATGAATTCGCAGTGGAGTGTCGCGTTGGATGCAAGACTGGCGAAATGACGCTGCATTCGACCGGTTACCGAGCACAAAGGTGGGAAACAGAGGTGCAACAATGTAGCAAGACAGTAAGGGAAGCATAAAGAGATCGGTACGTTGTACAATGGTGATGAAAATGTGCGCAACGCTATGACGAAGGAAGGAACTTACCAGAAGGTTATTCAACCTGCGTAAACTGACAGACACGGACCAGGCCTGGCGCAGTGAGTCGACAACTATTTCGTCTTCCATTAGGTCAGATACATGTTGATTCCATGAAGCGATGGACGAGTTTAACTCCAGACGCTCTTTAGCAGTGATCGATTTGCGAAGTGTTGACAAAACGTAGTCAGACTTGACGGTCAGCATATTTTTGCATGCCAAGCGGAACACGTTGAATGCTGCCAACGCGGTGCTCTCATCGTTGTCGGGGTTTGTGGAACAAGATGGAGTGCCCAATGGGGCGGCGATGGGGTATAAATGAATTTGGCGATGAGAAAAGCGAGATTTAACACGCTTTTCTAGAAGCTCCATGATATCCTGAAAAATCGAGTTCATCAGAGTAATAATAAGCACAGTCATGCCGGTAAAATGGATAAAAGCAACAAATGAGAAGGCAAGTGAAAGGTTTGTGGGAAATTGTTCTAAACTATCACACAAAAACACTTGGGCGAAACAGCTTAAGGCAAAAAAATGCTGCAAAATTTTATGCTCAACTCACTAGAACAACGAAAAAACAACAACAGCATAATCAGAACGTATGTAAGAGGTAGACCTACGGAATTCAGACATATCTGGCCTAAATTATTAACAACAAAAGAGACGCATAGGTGCGCTGAACCGAATTGCTCCAAATATGACATCGGGTATATCAAAGAATACGAAGCGACCGACAGCGTCGAGTGACGTTTAAATCGAGAAACACGGTTCAAGCCATCAAGGATTTCAATGGTGCTGGTAGGGAGCCATCGCCTCAGAAACTTAGAGCATTGTTCCCCGTTTCAGTTTGAACAAGACAATGAGAAGACGAGCGTTGCAAGATGGCACCCTTTATGTTACCTGATCATTACAAACGATCAGCGTTTGCGGACCGACACAAAATAACAGATGGTTGAGCTGTGATCAGATAACATGAAATGGTGCCATCCTGTGGTGCCCATCTTCTCAATGGCTTGTTCAAACAGCTCAGGCCAGCATGCGGTAAAGTACAAAGCTGCTCCAACTAATACAACAGTGGAAAATAACCGATCCAATTCTGCTGTGGTTGAAAACGTGTGTGTTTGCTGCGCATCCAAGACTGTCTTACAGTGCGGCAAAGCAAAAGATATGGGGCCAATGATTTGAAGTGAACAAAGTAAAGGAGTGATGACTCGGTGCTTAACACAAACGGTCCAATCACTCACCTTCGCTATGAGCCCCGAACTTAACGCGGTTCCGTAGCGCTCACTGCCCAATCTACTGGGTTGGATTAGTTGATACACTCTGCACATGCAGAGCTATTCCCATCAGATTGCTCAACGATCAGACATATATATATATATATATATATATATATATATATATTCAACACCTGACCAATATACAATTCGCAGTGTCATAACACATAGTTAACAACAAGAAGAAGAAGAAGGGAAAATAGGTAGCCAGTGGAAAGGTTTGGAACGTTTACAAGGTTAATGTGTTGCGTGGGCAGAGATCTTCCCGGTTTCCCAGGCCGAGGGTTGAGTTAAGGGACCGCACCCCGAACCTTTGGTCATAAAGACCTGACCCGCAAGGCAGCGGGACGAGTAATGGGGACCATTGACATCCGGGTAGTTCCTCGAGGTTAGAGTCAGAAGGAACGGTACCTCCATATTCCCTAAAAGGAAATCACTATATGGCATTGCCAAATTAGTGTTGCCTTACGGTCTTGGTTAGAAACAAAAGTTTTGGTTGATCGCCGTAATAATTCTTTAGCCTAAACATTGGAAACCTGACAGCATCCTACCCATGCAATACAGTGATAAACTCTGCACACAATTCTTGATGCTGTCAGAGAGAACAAGAAACAGCGGGAAAAAATGGCAAATAGGAGTGAGGACGTTAACGTTCAAGTCTCCTTGTCTTCTTATTCCCACTCTTAGGCTTTTTCATCCTTTCGTTTTGTTCCAACTAACCTTTTCCCCTTTACATTTTAAACACCATTTTTGCTCTTCCTTCACCTTACAATGACAAGTGTTAGTCTTCTAGTTTAGATTTACATGCAATCAGAGAGTCGCCTCTGTTCCGTCGCAGTTTAAGTCTAACAAAGCGGTAAACCGAAGTACACCATCTAATTGGAGCCATCGATCTTCGCTAAGACTGGCATACCTCAACTTAGCCATTTTGTTGCAGGTCCGTCAACGTGCAGCATTAGACCCTATCGATTGACAGCCGCCGTGTATCGGAAGCCAGTCTCCGGAATTCGAGCTGTGCTCACTGTACGATTCCCTGCATGTGTGACGGCACTTTCTCACTACGTCTGTCAGAAAATAAAGCAGCGTAAAATGCGAGCTGAGCATCGCACGGGGCTTCCAGACTGAAGCTGCTCTGATAGACCAGATTCCAATCAGTAGTAGTGTACTGATGCTGCCGCTCGGTTAACAGTCGGTTTTTAGTCACCACAGATACGGATGGTGCCATCAGGTTTTTGTACTGGAACAATTGGCGTGGCCCAAGATGAGTGGTGTACTGGCGATAATATTCCATCTTTTTGGAGGCGCTTCAGCTCTAACTCAACTTTCGGACGGATAGCAAAAGGTAAGCTCCTTGCTTTGAACAACTTCGGCTGCGCGTTCCGTCTGATTTTGAAAGAAGCTTTAAAATCACATAGTTTACCGGGCGATGTTTCACCAAACACACAAGCATACATTCTCAACAATGAAGGAATGTCTGGAATATGGTCTACCTATATGACGGTTCGAAGTAGTTCCGGCATATGTTTGAGTCAGTTCCTACCAAGTAAGTTCGGAGCGTCTGTGTTACCAAACAAGGGGAGGGTAAAAGTGTCGGCCCAAGTAACCCTTACTTCACACATCCCCAGTACATCGAGCGATTCGCCAGTATAAGAACGGAAAATAGACTGTGTCGGGACCAGCGGCAGGTCGGGCAGTGTATAATTGTTGACTAGCTTAACCGAGGCCCCCAAATCGATTTCTAGGCGCATAGGTTGGCCTTTAATCTCTAGTTCCACAGTGCATGGGGTATTCCGCGTAGATGCGATGTGATAGTAAGTAAAATCAAGTAAGATATGGACTCAGCAGAATTCTCTAACGTCCGTACAGTATTTGGTGGAGGGTGAGATGTACGACCTGGAAGCACTGTTGAGCGGCAAAAACGCGTAAGATGTCCGACCTTGACACACTTGTGGCAAGTGGACTGTTTGTCTATAATCAGTTACCCTTTCATGTCGTTCAGCACACCAGTAGCACATGGCTGGCTAGCCGAACCATCTCCTTGTGGTGCCGGTTGGGTGGTTCGGCTTACCCCGTTCCAGCAAATAGTTAGGCAGCAGCGTTCCAGGACGTGGTGGGTTTTTGCCCTATAAAAAGCCCCAAATGTTTGCTTAACAACACTGACGTGGCGGTTGTGACTCGCCACCAACTAAAATCACTCTCTTGATTATCCGGACAACCGTTTCAATTCCACAAACGTCAAGCATAGCTTTAGGACTGGCGACACCAGCAAAGGTGCAGGAAAGTGATAGATCATCACGTTTTCTCACTATTCCTAAGAAAACACCCAAACATTCTCCGCACGAGTTTTAGCCGAGCCGAAGATAATTCAGAACTCCAATGACCTTGACCGCGAAAAACGTGTTAACAAAACGAAACCGAAACGTCGCACAACTGCGCCAAACCTACGGCAAATATATAGGTGGCTCAATTACCTTCGACTTATAGAAAACAAAGGTCAACTGGTAAAATTAGCAGCATCCCTGCCAAACCTCCATATGCTGGCAATCACGTGAATGAATGGAAGGTTCCGGGATCTTCGAAATCAATGCACGATCAAAGATAATCGATTAATCGTTATAATAAGGGTTTTTTGGTGCTTTTAATTTTACCGGATGCCTCCTGTCCTAAGACGGCTGCCACGGTGTATGGTGATAGCCTGGGATTGACCTGAAGCCTCCTGGAAGGTGTCCTCCTATCGGTACATCGCCTTGGCTGTAGTGTTATGGGTTCAAGTTCCGTGCTCTGCGGTCTGGTATCATTCTTTTGATGACAGGGTTCTTCCACGGACTCTACCAGATATCCCATACGATCTCAACTTCAATGAGAGTCGTTGATATGGGACAGTATCAAAGGCTTTCGAGAAGTCAACGAAAAGCACGTCGATGGCGTGACCGTTGTCTACTGACTCAGCCCAGGTTTCACGAGCCACAAGTAAATTTGTCAGACATGTAAATCCCTTACGGAATCCGTGCCGGGCCGCACTGAGAAGGCTAAACTTAATCAGGTGATTCTCCACCGAATCCCTGATCAATTTTTCAAACAACTTAACTACTACACTTGTTAAGCTGACAGGCCGGTAGTTCGCGGGCAGAACTCTGTCCCCGCCCTTAAAAATCGGACAGATTGCTTTCTTCCATTCCGAAGGTAAGGCACAGCTGTCGAGTGATATTGTAAACATGCACGTCAGAGGGCCACATAGCTCAGCGGTCAATTCATGTATCAGCTTCGGATGAATTGAATCAGGGCCAGAAGCTTTGGAAGGATTTACCCCTTGTAATAGCCCGAAGACTTGTGTCTCCGTTATGCTGATTTCAGTTAGGCAAGAATCCTCTGGAACTTTTGTGACCAGCTCAACCTGAGGTAGAGGCCTCATGATAAAAGACACCAGTATACTGTTCGCTAAGTATACAAGCATTATCACAGTCGGTATGCCCATGGGTCCCGTCCGCTCGAAGTAAAGCCGGTATAGACGAGTTTGTACCGCTACGTCTCTTTACGTAAGCAAAGAACTTTGGATTGGTTACGGCTTCTATGTTCATCTCATAGTGGATAGGATCACCATGGTTTCTCTTTAGGCGCTTCGTAAATTAGTGTTGTAAATTTTCTATTGATGTTCTATCACTTTTTCTCAGTTTGGAGTATATTAAAGAGCAGTATTCGAGTAGGGGACGAATACGGGTTTTATACAGTTAGATTATTTATTCATTTAGTATTAGCTTGCTTAGTTTACGGGCTTTTGCAACCGTGTACTGTACCTGTTCGGCGAAATTGAAGGAGCTCGAGTAGTGTATCCCAAGATCACGAATTGTGAGACAGGTGGACAGGGCTTTGCCGTCTAGCATCAAAGAATTTGGTGCAATACTGCACCGATAACATATGCAGCTGCACTTCTCGGATGAGAGTGCTATTTTCTACTTGCTTCACAAAGTTTTCATCTCGTGCAGATCCGTTGTATGTCGGCTAGTGCGTTGGTGAAATAGTCCAAATCGAACTCGTAGACAATTTTAATGTCATCTGCGAATACGTATGGTTTGCGTGTTTGATGACATCGAAGATGTCGCTCTCCTTTGGATCATGCCACTT